TAGCTCATCCAATGGAGATGCGTAAACACTATGCAGACAAGATCATTCGTGTGTGCCATGTGTTATATCTACAAGTATACAACTATATTGAGAGAAATAAGGAAAGAGAGAGAGAGAGAAAAAGAGGGAAAGCGAGAGTTGGTCGTTTGGATACGTCGGTTGGTCGATCGAATGTTCGGTTAAGACGAAGAAAATCGTCTGTATTGAGTTGGTTCGCCGAACGTGAGAGCTTGTCAAAACATAAGCCTAAGAATACGTTGATCGTGATCGGAAATAGCAAGACGGTGGACCGAAATAAGCGAATCGCAAGATAATGGAACGCGGGTGCATCCTAACTTTAAGTACCGACGCAAGTTTACCCCACCGATCAACATGAACAAGATGAAAGAAAATGAAGATTAAGATGAATATGAATATGAAGATGAAGATGAATATGAATATGAAAGAATAGGAGGAGTAGGAGGAGGAGAATAAGATGAAGGGAAGGAGGTCCGGATGTTGGCATATGTCGAATGCATACCCTCGTCAGGTGTTACGTCCTCAGCCTCAGTTGTGGCAAGGCGGCGGCAGTCGATGACACCACCAACGAGACGAGACGAGCTTCTCTGGACGATGTGTCGCCACTCGAATTTACTTGGCACCGTATCATAAGCGTCGTTAGACGTCGAGTGGGAGCTCTAGCGTTAGCTTAAAGTCGAACACTCGATTGATACGTTCCCCTTAATGACGTTTGGAATCCCTGGATAGAGTTCAGAAACGAATATGATTAGGAAATAGACCGATCAACGATCGTTCTTGCGACAGGTGCATATCTAAAAGTTTCCTTAGATATATATATATATATGTGTGTATACAATTGGATATATATAATGTGTTCCAAAAGTCGCTTTAACTAACTGATTAATTATATCTTTCTTTTTTTTTTTTTGGCAAGTATTTCAATTAGCGTCGTATAGTGGGTTAATATTTTTTTTTTTTTTTTAACAACCCTATGACTGAAGAAGATTCATATCTTGAAATAGAAAGCATAATATTTGAAGTTCTATTAATAAGACAAGATTTATTTTTTGTTTTGATCTTATTTCTTAGGCAAAGCAACGTGTTAAGTATTAAGGTAAGGATATAAATAAATTATTCTAATTATAATTTTCGTGTTAGAAAAAGAAAAAAAAAAAAAAATACACGAAAGAGAAAAGCAATGTAAAATCGTTTAATGCAGAATTAAAATGAACAATCGCGCGTTCCTGGTACGTATTTAACGTTGAAAATTATTTCTGTTTTTCTCGACGCGCGAATGATTATTAAATTAAGTTCATTGCAAACCCCACGTATGTCGCGACAAACACACGGCTAACTTTCTTCTTGGAAAAGTTTTTTTTTTTTTCCCCCCTTAAATTTGTGCGCACTTAAACGTGTAGTATTTCGTTCGGAACCATGATCGTTGCCAAGAAATAATCCACGATGGCAACAAATCGTAAGATTCTCACGTGAGATAACTTGCGAGTAATCGTGAACATATGTTTCGTTCTGAGTTCATCGTGCTCGAATAAAGTATGCGGATGAGAAAAGAGGAATATCACGAATGATGATAGAAAAATCTTTTATTATCCTACCGTGTACTTTCTCGAGTTTTTAATGTTTCCACAAAACGACCTATCGTTATAGTTTATTTTTCGTAACCACGAGTGTCGTTGGATCTCACTATTTCGCGATAAAAAGTATGGGTAAAACGAAAGGGAAAATTTGAATAAAGTTTGTTCCGTTTCTAGAATAAAATGAAACCAAATTTAAATATTATTAATTTCAATTTTCAAACGCGAGGATATCATCAAATTTTAATCCCACGTCGTAAACGAAAAATTCGAGATTTTGTTCATTTTCATATAAAAATTACAAATCCCCCGATATTTTTATCGCGTCAGCGTTAAATCCAGTAACCGAAACATTTTATTCGAGATGATATTTAAAATAGTCAACGCTATATACTCTACCGTCAGGGGAGAAGATTTAATTAATCCATTTAGATAGTGGTAATGTAGTATTTTTGTTTCTTTTTTTTTTTATGTTCTTTTTTTTTTTCTTCCAAACAACGTTAGCGGACCGTTCCAAACGTTGGCACGTTGGAAAAGTAGAAAGGTCAAAGGGTAGATATTTGCTAGCGGGCCACTCGAGTCTCTCCGTTAGCAAGAAACTTCAAGGTTGAAATCAAGATGCTTCGTGCAATTAGTTGACGCTAATTGAACTTTGTACGTGCTTTATTTAAGCTCGATAAAGGAAAAACGGTATATTTCCGTTATAAGGGAAGGTCGAGAGTTGAAGTAATCCTTCCTCGTGGTTCTTCGTTTATTTTCTATAAGTGTGTAATTTATTCATTCGAATGAGAAGAGAATCGATAATCATTAACACAACAACGCGAATGAAATTGAATATTGTATAATACGTATATTTAGTTACTTTGGCATTTATAATGCGTAAGAGTTTCTGGAAAATATCACGTAACGAATAATAATCAGGATCGTTCGATAAGGTGGATTACTTCATTTTATTGTGTTTTATTTTGCATTATTGGATACTTGACAATCATACGTTATGATTATCGACACCACAAATATCTCCCTTTCTCTCTACCTTCCTCTCTCAGTTTGCCTCAATATTGCGGGATGCACCATGCGTGGGTGAGTTGTGTGGGAATGCGCACGGTCTTCCGTAGATTTCCCTTATCCCGGGCATCCGGGCTTCGTCGTCATGACAACACACCCTCCACCCCAAGAACGACCACTGCATTCTGCTGTTCGAGTACCAGGACGGAATCGTGGAGGGCTGGAAAGGGCTGCTAAACCGGTGGAAACATCACGTTGCGTGTTCCAATTAATTTCATTGTTTATAACAACTTTTAATCGAATTAGGATAGATTCTATTATTGATTGATAATCAACGTATGCAATAGATATTAATGATTCTAATCGTTTACATTTACTTTTAATTTCAGTTTTATAGTTTCGAATTGAGTMCCCCGCCGATCGGATCAAAGTAAGCGAAAACGTTCATTGAAAAATTCAAGTTCGATGATTCCTACTTATCACTCGCAAAAGTGTTAGAAAACTAAAGGTAAATTGTCGTTTTATCTTGAAACATGATTCACGTAAAAATAGTTGGATGCCGTTCCAAATAGTACAAGGTCGTCGGATATTTTATTCCGAGTGGTTTGAAAGTACGATTCAATATTTTACTCGACTTGTATTTCTGGGTCACACATCGCGTCTCTTATTTATACATCGAATGTTATATTAAAGAAGGTAGGAAGTTAGTTGTGAATAACTTTGAATTTATCGTTGGGAAAAGATTGGAGGAAAGAATGGGTGTATCGATGATATTAATGTAACGAATGCAATTGGTATAACTGTTTTATACAATTTCAACGTTTATTTCGATATATACAAAAAAACATTGCTTGACGTTAAACAGAGGCCACGCACTTTTCGTCCGAACTTTAATTAAATCTTTCTTCGTCTTCTTTAAAATATCTATCTTATATCTTGTTTTTTATTTTTTATTTATTGTTTTTTTTTTTTCCTAACAAAAGAAACGATCTACAAAGAGTTATGCCTACTGAAACATCTCTGAAGGATGAACGTACAAATGTAGAAACGCGTGTACGCTAACTTTCGACTTTCTTCTTCTTTTTCTTCTTAATCATCATCATCATCATCATCATCTTATTCTTCATCTTATTTTTCTTATTTTTCATATTCATCATTTTCATTATTTGTAATACATGTACATAAATCGTTTCGTCGTTCAAAAAGCGTACAAACTAAACTCGCGGAAATCTTTCATTCGGAGATCCACGAGCGACCGTTTGGCACGCGTAAATTCGTTCTCACGTACATTTATTTTTTTTCTCTTTATTTTTTTTTTTTTTTTTACAATAATCGTGCTCTTGCAACGTTTCGCATGCGTGGTACGCAGTGCGTAAAATCGATGACGTAGGAACCTCTCGAAATTAGGCTGGCTTTAGAAACGTCTTGATTCTTGTAAGCTTGGCGCTAAAAGATTGGCAAATTTCGCATTAAATTCAAAAAAAATATATTAACTCGTCTTGCCAATAAAGATATAGTGCTTGTAATCAAACGTCCGGTGATATTTATATAAACGTGTCATTAATATCATTGAAATGATCTAACGAAACGTTAAATAAGTTTATTAATTACGTCTCTTACTTTTTTTTTTTTTACATTTGTGTGATCGCAAGTTGCATAATTTCAATTGTTGTTTCAGTCATAATAATAATAATAATAATAATAATCCGTGAATATAAACAAAACAACAAAACATACATCATCGTGAATTATGACAATTAATAATGATTACGATATCGAACCGATTAATTATTACGGAGGTTCATCATCGATATTTACTCGTAACCATTTGTCAATAACACACACACACATACACATATATATACACAAACATACACATACGCACTCACGCGCATAAATACGCACACTGTTCGAGCATCGAAAATTGAAACGATGGATGGTATCATCGTGAGGCTTTTTTATTTTTTTCTTACAGCTTTTCTAATATCCAGTCTATAGCTCATCGATAGCAATAAGGAAGTATTGTATTTTTTTGTTTGTTTCTTCTTCTTCTTTTTTTTTTTCATAGTGCTCCGAAAACCGAACGTTATTTTATCCTTAGCCTCATGCAAAATCGTTCCCACGTACTTTTTATTATCACAAATACGTCTTATTCCCGATTCACTTTTGGACCCACGAAGTACAACGAGGAACGAATTGACGCGAAGCTTGTTTTTGTAAATTTTCCATTTTCTTTTTTTTTTCTTTATTCTTTTCTTTCTTTTTTTTTTTTTTTTTTTTTTTTTATTTCTCTTTATCTCTCGTTTTGCAACGGTCAATGAAGATTGTGAAATTGTTTTTTGCATGACGCGCGTTAAATATGATCGATTATTTCGATCTTATTTAAAGAGTAGATTTANCTTTTTTTTTTTTTTTTTTTTTTTTTTTTTTTTTTTTTTTTTTTTTTTTTTTTTTTTTTGAAAGTATGTAGAAATGCTTTTGCAACGGTCAATGAAGATTGTGAAATTGTTTTTTGCATGACGCGCGTTAAATATGATCGATTATTTCGATCTTATTTAAAGAGTAGATTTATTTGAAGGGATAATAAATTCTTAGTTATGCATGCTTGAGACACAACAGACAAATTTTCGTTACGATAAAATATAGAATTCAATTATTATAGATTAGCATGTATAGCTATGTAATGAAATAGCGTATAAAAGATAATATTTATTTTAATCTTGGAACGCGATAAGTACTACTAATAGTTGGCACCTAAATAAATGCCAATTCATCATTTTTCTCGCGAATTTTTCTCGTCCGAGAATTAAATCCTGATTTATATTTTATTTGTTCACGTTTTTTCTTATTCTTCGTACTTTTTTTCTCTCTCTTTTTCTTTTTTTCTTTTTTTTCTTCTTTTTCCTCTTTTTTTGTCGGTGCACACACGTTCGGAATTCGGAATTATTTGTTATTTTTCTTTAGGCAGAATTACTCTCTAGATTTAAACCTGTTTTTTTCTTCTTCTATTTACATTAGTCGTTTAAAGAACGACGTATCTAATTTCTCATCATTACTTTTTTCTTAATTTTCTACATCCTATTATAAATTTCTACAAGAATATATGTATGTATAATATGTGTGTGTATATATATAATATAATATATTATATCGTATATACATAATGCATCTTCATTTCTATTGATTATACAACAATCAAACTTCCTATGTCGATGATCTCGCAGCATCCGTTTTGCTTTTTGTTTGGTAATTTAATCTAATAATACAAGCTTTTTTTTCTCGAATGTTTTAAAAGTACTTACTCGGTAGATTAAGATTGCCTAGTCAAGATTTTTCGTGCTCAATTTGTTGATTAACCCTTTCGTTACTGTTGACCCATATACGGATCGTTCATACGAAGTATGAAACGATATTCGCGTAAAAACGTGTCGTAAGGAAAAGGTTCAATATTGGAGTGATTAATTATTATTTCTTGAAATATTTTTTGCTAGAATTAGAATTGTTTTTTTTTTTTTTTTTTTTTGTTTATTATTGACATTAGAAAAGAATTAATTCTACTGATACATTCGAATAATAATTAAGTATCTATATCCAATACTTTGAAGCATCGTCAAGTTATCGCGTTAATTTGAAAATAGTAATTAATATCTTGACCTCGATATCTCGTGGAAAATAGAAAGAAGGGGGGACGAACACGCGAGAAAAATAAAATCTAAAAGAGAAGAAGAAAAGTTTGGTGAGACCGATTAAATTCGTACTAAATCGCGGCAAATTTTCGCGTTTCCATTATAATCTACGGGTTTAAATGATTTACAAAGACACGTGTATTTGACTATTTAAACTTTCGTCTGGCATTTATTATTGTCTCTTTTTTGGGGCTGGCGTGCTGACTGACACTTGGTTATCCTTATTACTGTGTACGTGTCACGATCACTACATCCTCTATATCACATTCATTTTTTTTCTTTTTATTATTTTTTTTTTTTTAATTATCTACATTCTATACTCTTTCGTACAGTTAAGGAAAGAAAAATATAGGGAGAACATTTGAAGTTGCACTTAAGTAGTACTTACTACTTAAAACATTCTCTTATATTTTTCTTCCTTCCTCTTTCGGTTTCTCTCGTTATTAATAACATATTTGAGAAAGTCATAGATTCTTATTGCAGTCACATGACTTACGATCTCGTCATTGTTTTCACAATGAACGATTTCAAAATAATGCGAAGAGAGTTTAATCGATTATATCGTTCCGTTCGATAAAGTTTATCACACGTTTTACTGAACACGTTGGAAGGGCCGATCGATGCAGAAAATTGCACTCGAGACGTCCGCCACGTTGATTGGATAATGAAGAAGTTCGTTCGCTTACTACACCATCACCACCACTACCACCACCACCACCACCACTACCGGCCTTACTAACTTAAGCTTATTCGGCACGGGGCATTATTTCGCACACTCGACTTGCAGATCGAGCTCGGCCAAGCTGAACTTGCGTTCCTGCTTGATGTTCCTCAAGCAGGGTTCGCTGAAAGATTTAACCATCTCTCACATATTCTCCGTACCAAATCCACCGATGAAACTGGGATCGTGGATGGTTGAATCGCATTGCATTACCCATTCCCAGATCCTCTTGGTAACAACCTTTTGATCTACCGTAGTTTCTAGACCGTAACTGTTGAGAAGTTTCCTCAATTTGTTTTTGTTCTCGTCAACGTTGTGACGGTCGTCAACGATCGTGTCCAAATACAAAAGACTGTCTCCTCTCCTTGCCAGACTCTCGTTCACGTCTACCGACGTTGACGTAGCACTGTGACTGATTTTACTGATGCACCATGAATCCTTTAAATATTTATTGATCTCCGTAACGTGCGGTCTCTTTTCAGGTTTATGCTCGAAGGCTCGCCTAAAGTACCTCAACAGACGTGGCGTGAAACGTCGAAAAGTCGGTGGTATCTTGGTGGTCCGTCTTTTGAGCCATCTTTGAAAACCCGAATAGTCCGGGTCTTGGATCAGGTCAGCACTCTGCCAGGGTGGATTACCGGTCAGGCAAACGAACAAAACTATGCCGAATTGCCAGCAATCGGCACTCCTCTTACAGGCGTACCTTTCGTTCTTGATCACTTCGTAAATTTCAGGTGGTTGAAATGGTACCCAAGTGCAACGGATTTTATTCACCAGACTACCCTCGCGTTTGGTGCTACCAAAATCGCAGAGCTTTATCTTTGACATGTCTTGGGCGAATACCAAAACATTTTCGAGTTTAATATCTCGATGTGCTAATTGTTTGGAATGAAGGAAGTCGAGTGCCGAAGCCAATTGTCCTGCGATTTTCTTACATGCATCCTCGCCGAGTCCACCAGCTTTTACATTTCCGGATAGATCTCCGAACGGGGCGTATTCCTGAGCGAAGAAGTAACATTTTTCGGCCTTGAAAGCAACCGCATAAGAACAGAGTATACTCGGATGTGGACTCAGGTGATAAGAATAATGGAATTCCCGAAAGAAATCTTTTTCGGTGGTGAGTTCCTGATGGACCGCTTTTAAAACCACCCTCGTTTGAGTTGCTCTATGGGTTGCAAGAAGTATCTTAGCAAAACTACCCTCCCCTAAAGTCTTTTCCACATTGTACTCTTTCGCAAGATCCAACTCCTCTAGGGGTACCTCTTGTATCCTGTGGATACCCGATTCCTTCTTCTCGTGCAGCTTCATCTGTAACATCATAAGAAATAGGATTTATAAATTCCAACGATCGTTTATTCCCGTTGGGATAATTCAATATTTCTAACGATCTATTTATTTAATTGACGTCAATGCAAGTAGTAAGTAAAGGATATTATCAAGGAAATACGTAAACCGTTTAATTATCTAACACATTCCGACACAATCTGACATTAACAGGACACCGGCGTTGAACCTTTGCAAAATTGCTCATTCTCAAGTATCAGCGGGATTAAACTAATTACGCAAATAGTGTTAATCGTTCTTCCGGAAGTTTATAATCGCAGCGTCATCCTTACGTCAGCGATTTCCGGTTGGTAGGATTTCTACAGCCCCCTGGAGGCAGTGCGATTTAACGCACGAACGGATCGTTTTACGTAGGGGTGCTGGAAACTGTCTAGATGTTGTCACAAGTTTCTTCGTGCGAACGGGCCTCGTTAGATCGAGTGTCGTAAGCTTACCGACGTATCGATTTTATTATATATGAATGTCGAGGTACCACCGACGAAGGGAAACGATGAACACGTCAATGACGCGATACATACGTGAGATAAAATAAAAGCAAGGGGTGTTTGATAGATGCCTTTCCCTTCTTTAACGCTCGGGAAGACTATATTTACGTTTCCGATGCAGTGACAAAGCGTGCCCTACTTCAAAAATAAGTACGTCCGTTTGGTGCTTCGAATACTACGTGTATTCTACTACTTCGTTCTGTCTACGTAAATACGATAAAAGTATTTGTGAAAAAAACAAAAATAAAGGAAAATGATTTAATCGAAGAAGATAAAGAAATAAAAAAGAAACTGATGTGTGTACTTATGTGTACGCACGTAAGAAGTTATACTTCTTTAGCGTACCAAAACGGATATAACCTTAATAACTTCAAAAATAACTTTAATTTGTCCGCGCATCGTAGAAATATCGACAACTTCGTGGTGTCGATTTTTCGGTCGCATCTAACTTCACTTTCCAAAACGCGCCAAAAGAAGTATAACTTCAAAAATACATACATCTAATTAAAATCAATAATCTAATTCAACAAAAAAATAATTGGGTCTATTTTTCATTTTCTCGAAACTAAATTGCGACGCCATTTAAAACGTAGAATTTGATTTTAAATATTCCTCGACGATCGTGAATTGTTAGCTATTCGCAATTATAAATTTGTTGAGTGACATTTAATATCGATCTTTTTCTTTTTTCTTTTTTTTTTTGGTTGAAAAACGATCGGAGGAGAACTCGAATGCACGTTTCCACGTGCGTCATTCGTCCAGCTGTATGTATGCGCGCACGCGATGTAAACCTACCATCGAAATCGTCGGGAGATCTCTTAGGGAGATTTATTATGTTCCTTTCCGAACGATTTATAACTTTGTTGATTTACGTCAATTGTCTGTGTTCGTGTTAGTGTGTCTGCGTGTTCGATAATCATCTTCGTAGGAGGCAGATAAAGAGAGGAGAAAAAAAAGGGAATAAAAGAACGAAAAAGCGAGAAGAAAGATCAGAAGTAAACAAACGAAATAATATCTAATAAGAAAATATAATGATTTTCTATCGAAAACAAATATCACACTGTAATATTAATTAATTGTCTCTCTGGTAATTAACGATAATATTAACAAAATTAAAAAAACATATAGAAAATCTTATTATTTTCAAATTTTCTTTTTCTTAATTTTCATTCGCAATCCACAGCGTCGTAATTATTACGAATTGAAATGAACTTACGTTGATTCTCTTTTTAATATATAATACATTCTAGGGAAAAAAACAAAAACAAAAAAAATAGATTAAAAAGATTATTCGAAAGTTTTGTCCTCACAATTTTGAAAACAAAAGCTTATATTGTTTTTTTCCTTTTTATGATAAAATTTCGCGAATATGTGTAAGTATACGTTTTCGGTCGACCCAACAGTGCCTGGCGTCTTTGAAAAGCGAACGAGGAAAGGAACAATTTCGGGGCCGTGCGCGAGTTGCACGGATGGGTGGTAAGAAATATATAGAGAAGGAGGAGGAGGAGGAGGAGGAGGAGGATTCCTGGGGTTGAGAAAAGAGCATTGCATAGTGAGTAGAAGGAGAGGGCTGGGCTTAGGACGGGATGTTGCAAAGGGAGGGGAGGGGTGTGCCCGGGTGAACCCAGAACCTTTACAGCCGCCTAGATCAATAGCAAGGACCTCGGTTTGGCCAATGCAATCTGGCTACATGACTGCTACTAGATTTTCCCCCTTGTCCGCCCCTTAACCCCCTCGCTCCCCGTCCACTCGCGACTTTCCAGAGAAACCTGACTAATGTAAGATCAAAAAAGCTTCCTGGCATAGATTCAAATAACAACGCTCGCGTAAAATTGACTTCAACTCGATTTACAATCATCCCAACGATCTTCGATTTTGTCTTAAATGCACCCGGAAGTATTGCAAGTAAAATAGGAGTCTCGATGATAGGTGTCGAATATTTTTTTTTGTTCCGTAAAAAACAATTTTGATTGTTCGCTTTAAATTGGATACTTTTTCAGTTTTTTTTTCTATTTGCAAACTAATAGTCATTTCTATTATTTTTCGTTTTTACGTTGTTTTTTCCTTTTTTTATTTTTACTACACCAGTTAACACCAGTTCCTCGGCCTGACAAGCCTTAGGCGCAAGTATATTTAGCATTTCTGTTTACCGAGTCTATTTTAATGCTACGCGAGGGAAGTAAAGAGAGAAAAAGAGAAGAGGGAGAGTAATTCTTTGACGTGAATGCGTGTCTCCAATGAAACTCTAGAAAGAGAGAGAGAGAGAAAGAGAGAAAGGGTTGACTAGCGTGGAAAAGGACGCACGTGTTAACGAACGTGTTAACGTTTCATTGTATAAAACAATGATTATTTCATTTCGTTTCAAATGAAATATTTTCATATCATTTTAAACAGCGTCGCTCTAAAGTTAATACTTTTTCTTTTTCGCAATTATTTAAACGTAACGTTTGTTTCCCTTTCTTTTTTTATTGTAAAATTATTGGAAGAGATACGAAGTGGATGTGAACAACCCACGCAGTGAATCAGCAGACCGTCTAACGCCATCGAATGACTAAGTCTTTCTCTTTCTTGATTTATATTTATATTTTTTTTCTTTTTTTTTTTTTCAAGAAATAACAAAAAAGAAGATACTAAACGTCGATACATAATCGCGATGTATCTATATGCGACAGAATCGAGAACAAAATTCTTCGATATTCTTTTATATTCTTCGAATTTATTCGAATGAAATTTTCGTCGAAAGGATTTTATCAAATCATACCATACAATCTTACTTTATACGAGTTATTATAGCCCATTAAAGTTTTATTTGTTGAATTCGAATGATAAATGTGTCCCAGAAATGGATAATTATCGATTCGACGCTATGTCGAGTTTATTTTCGTAATAATCCGATGAATCTTTTGACAATTCGCTTTAATTAAATATCGGTTATCTATTTTCTCTTATATATATATGATATATGTGTGTATGTGTGTGTTTATATAGAACAGTGTAATAGAAACGTTTTATTGAAAGAACTAATCGATCGATACTCGACAAAATAAGTTTAGTTCCTTTTTGTTTCTTTTGTCTTTTTTTTTTTTTTTTTTTTTTCAGATAATCCAGTTTGTGTTTTCTCATTTCTTTTATTACTTCTTGGTCTTTATTGTTTTGATGTTCGAACGAGCCGATGATCGATGACTCTTCAATGATACTTTTTCCACTCTCTTAGGAATTTAATTAAAGGTTTCTCTCTACCTAAGAGAGAGA